GAGACTTTCCCCATTCAATCAGAGCTATGCCGCTATTTTTGCCCCTCCTCCCAATTAGCATCTTCACCGACCAATCAGAGCTACTCCATGCCAATCAGGACAGTGCTTTTTGGACCAATCAAACTGTGAGGATTTGGAGTCCTCATTTGCATGAGGATGGGCCAACCAGGGATCAGAAGCAGGACTTCTACATGTCGCTCCCCTGTGGCTTGGAGAGTGCAATTTCTCTTCCCATCCAAGAGCATTTTCTGGGCTGAAACACCTGACTTCTCAGCAGAGCAGAGAAAGCAGGGCAGAGCAGCTGGGAGCAGACAGTACCTGAGTGGAACAGATTGTCAGATAGAGGCCTTGCCAGAGGGTCAGATAGAGGCCTTGCCTGAGGGTCACCTGGGACACCTCGCAGCCCTGCTGTTCCACAGCCACACTGGAACAGCCATGCTGTATCACAGTTGAGCTGTTTGCACTGAATAAAGTTTCCTTCTTCAATGCACCCCAAACTGGGGATTCCTGTTGGCATTGAGTTGGTGCCAATGACCATTGATTGACACTATCGTAGCCCAGTTTATGGTCTAAAACTTGCCAACCATATTAATCATGAAGTACACAAGCACTATTTTTTTTAGTGAGCCCTATGTACTGGAGAAGTTATGTTTTCAACAGTTAAAAACTATATCTAACATTCATTTAGCACTTGCTCTGTGCTGGGCACCAGTCCAGGTTTAGGAGCTTTACCTGTGGTCACTCACCCCTCACCCAGTGAAGTACTATCACCATCCCCGTTTTTTAAAATGGAGAAGGAGAGTGGTTAGATAACATCCCCAAGGTCACCAAGCTAGTAAATGGCCAAATTAGAAAAAGAACCAGGAAGTATTCTTGCTTATAACATTATAGCTGACTCTTCATATTTTATGGAAAAGAATGTATTATGAAAAATCTGGAAAAATTGTAATATTGATGGATTGACCGCTTTGATTGGAGTAAATATTTCCAGATAAGATTTTGGTGCTAGTCCACAAGGAAACCATAAATGCACAATATGCCACGAAATATTATTTTAATAAAAATTTTTAAATATTTTTAATGATTAAGTGACCAAGAAAACATTTTATACCAGAGATTCATCTTGTGACAAAGTATATAGAGTTGTTGAGCTTAAAAGTGTTACACTATTGTTTTTTTGTTTTGTTTTTTAAACTAAAAAAAAACACCTGTTTTAATTTTTTCTAAAGAAATTCATGTTATGGAGATTTTTGAAACAAATGTCTGGATAGATTTCCATTTCTGAGAAATTTTGCTGTTAAAAGTGATGTCTCACCTAAAAGACCTATTTGTATTCTTAAACTTGGAAACAGAATTGGTTGAGGACTGGAAATGTAGTATTGTGCTAAAATAGGCACAGCCTATGAGGCACTTCTTCCATTCCAGCCTGTTTTGGGGAGGTGTCTCTTCTGGCTATTTCTAGAAATAGCTTTATTGCAGTATAACTGACATACAATAAAACTGCACATATTAAAAGTGTACTATGTGTTAAGTTTGGTGTATGTATACACCCATGAAACCATCAAGAACTCTTTCAGCTTCGATAGCCATTAAATATAATGAGACAAACAGACCTTAGAACCAGACTTTCTAATTGCTCAGCATTGAAATACAATTTAAAAAATATTAAGGTATGGGGGAGCATAAGTCTCCACTCCTTAAGTGTTGGCGGAAAATAGTGTGACCTCCTTCCAAAGTGGGAAGAGAGAAGGGAGTAACTTCACGGTGGAGAAACTGATAAACACTGCTTTCCTCCTCTCGCCCTTTCAACTAAAGTCCATAGTTTGTTCAGATTTCCCTGTTTTTGCCCGATGTCCTTTTTATGTTCTAGAATACATATTTGTGTCTTTTTAAGCTTCTCTTGACTGTGGCAGTTTCTGACTTTTCATGTTTTTGATGACTGTGACAGTTTGGAGGTATACTAGTTAGGTATTTTATAGCCCAAGATTTGTCTGATGCTTTTCTCACAATAAGACCCTGGGGTTATGTTTTATTGGGGAGAAAGACCACAGAGGTTAAAGTGTCACCATACCATATCAAGGGTACATGCTGTCACCATGACTTGTCAGTGTGGATGCTGGCCTTGATCACCTGGCTGAGGCAATCTTTTTGCTTGTACTGAAACCAGTAGTATTTTATTGGACCCAAAATGCTTTGTATGTACCCTTAATAAAATTTGGGAGTAAATTTTTTTATGCTTTCCAAGTTTCTATTTGATAGTACATGTACATAATTTTTAAATAACTGTACATACAACGTATATGATAAAAATGTTTTATCGATGGAGGTTGCTGCTTTACTGAGAAAGGGCCACTGACCTCAATATTTTAAGTTCAACCAGACCTGGGCAAACCTGGCCAGAGAACTCCTTAAGATTCCTCAAGAAAGTCATGCCCCACCCATTTCAAGGAGTCTAGAAAAAAAAATTTAACTGATTAAGTCTCCTGTCCCATTCTCTGGATACCAGGGCTACTCCATAGCAGCCTGTAACTGTTAAGCCTGCTTAATCTAAGTATCCACAGAGGACAGACATGATTTCCCCTTTTATCACAGGTAACAAGGGAAGGCACCATTCTCCTTGTTTCAAAAGTACTTTACCCTCAGTCCCAGAAAAAAGAACCTGTTGTACATACCTCAGACGTTGGCTCTATGCTGAAAAGCATGGGACTTTGTGTCCATGTTACAACAGTGGAGTAAGAGGACAACCATAAGGGTCTCTCCAGTTCCTTCCTTTATTTTGTCCATGTCCATCACTTCTAATGAGTAACACAAGCGACAGTAAGTTCCCTTTAGAGTGGACCCTTGGACCTCCCCAAATCTTAGGGATTCATCACATGCCAAACTGGGTATCTTCTAAAATATCAATGTCACAGCAACTGAAGCCAGAGCAGATTATCAGGACACCTGGGCTGGCTTCAATTTATAACTGTGAGCAGACAGGGAGGTAGAAGGATCTCGTAGCAAAGTCACCTGAGTGCTGTTGGCACCTGAGACTGACAGCAAGGTGGGCAGGGCCACCACATTCCTGAGAGCAAAGCTGAGTCACCAAGGCAGAAACCAGATGAGTAAGTTTCTTTCAGTACTTGATGAGGGGACAGTGTGGAGCCGGTCTAGGGTGAGGCCTGCTGGCCAGTTCCTGGCTTACATAATTTCCATAGCATTTTCTTTCAAAATTAAAAAAATTTATCTCTACACACATATCATATCTACAGATTTGTATCAATCCAGAGTGAGGGAAATATATGAGCCTGGTTTCCACAACATTCAACTCTAACCCTGAATGCCTCTGTACTGACCTCATCTGAGTAATAAATGTATAAACAGAAGCCACTGCAATTTCACCAGCCCCGAACTTCTCCATGGTCCATTATCAACAGGAGTGTCAGTAATGGATCAAAGTCCCAATAGCTGACCAGTTGGATGGGTCCTAGTTGACAGGCACCAGCTTGTGAGGTGACCCATTGTCTTTCAGGACCAACGTATGTCTACTGAACAAGGGACTGACTGTAACAGAGCTGGGTTTGGATCTGTGCCATTCCTTAACACTAGACTAGAAAAACCTCAGCTTTCTGTAAAATACCCATGCTATAAAAGTTAAGACAATTAAATGAGACAATGCCTGTAAAGCAACTAGCAGATGGTGGGCACTAAAATTAATGAAGCTGGCATCAGATAATGAATGCTAGATCCAACTTTCCAGCTGATACGGCACAGGGTCAAGTGGCAACAGTCTTCTGAGCACCCTGGCAGAAACTGTACTCATCTTTTCCACAACCTTTCTTGCAGCAACTTGAGTGGCCAGTGCTGGGGGAGAGGCAGATGGGGGAAGTGCTGACTGTTAACAAAGAACCAGGCTGTTTAACTGGTAGTCTCAAGGGGTATCCTGGCCAGAGGCTCACAAAATGCACACTTCCTACTCCAGTACCCTAGGAAGATACATCGTATGTGTACCTACATGTTCATTTACACACACATATGTATGTATATGCAATATTAACTGCACCATATAAACTGGCAGTATATTAAACAAGAGTGAAGACTGAGATTAACCCTTGATTTTACTCATACTATAGCCAGACCTTAAAGATACAGATCACCAATGAAAACCTCCCCCAGGCACAGGGTGCAGTAAGCAATTGTCATGTAAACGAACCTTCTTCAATGAGAAAACATCACCTCCTAGTGGCAGGTTTTCTAAGAAACCCAGAAATGACTGCAAATATTTCTCTGAAAATTTAGCCACAAGCCCTATTGTTTCCAGTTTCAAAAAGAAAAAAAAAAAAGTCTCATATTAATAAATACTGGTAGTTTAAATTAAATTTTGCTGGACAACTCTTGGCTGACTTTCCCTCTTATTTAAGCTAACATTGTACTTTATTCTTATATTTTATAAAATGATCACTACACATTTATAGGAAATTAATAGCTCAAAAGCAAATAGATAATTTAGAGGGAAAAAAACCTTTAAAAATTCTAACATATAAACTCAGATGGATCTGCCATCATAAAAAGAAGGAATGTTAAAATAGTAAGATAAAGCAAGCATCTCTTATGAAATTTTAAAATATGATTATAAAATTCACTAGAAATGCTGGAAGATAAAGGCAGTGCAATCACTCATTATACCAAATAAAACTAAAGAAAAAGAAGCAATCAGGGAAGTTCAAGTTCTAACCAATAAGAATGTTAGAAAACTTAAAATACAGTGGAGGAAAGCATTAAAGAAATAATAAAAGAATGTTTCTCTGGGGTTAATAAAAGTTACCGACCTTCAGGTTGAAAGCACTTTCCCTGTTATTTTCATGGAATTTAATCTTAAGAGTCAAACCTGGTTGAGTAGACTAATTTCTGCCTCTGCCAGCAGCTTGGCAATCCTTCAGGGAAGGAAGATAGATACCCATGGTCCTGGAGGCAGTAGTGTTAAAACCGTCACAGCAGAATAATAAAACAAGGAGTCTTGGTGGAAGTTAAAGTATTTATTGATGTGTTTAAACTTTGTACATTCTCCACAGATCAGATTAAGGAGTTTGTAGGTGAAGTTTATCTGTGCATAGTGGGAGGAGACATGGATACAGGAAAGGGGAGAAAAAAACAATCACAGGGAAATAGAAAAAAATATACCACAGGTTACCAGAACCTTCAGAATAATAAAGAAAAAGCTGTGAGCATCAACATTAACTATACAAGCATTACAAAAACTCGTGTGAAAACAAAATCTTCAACACTTTCAATGGTGTCTACAGATCATTTCAGGTACAGTTCAGAACACTCCCCTTCCACATAAAGCAAACCTCCCACGGTCTCTCCTAGGCCACCGGCCGCCTATGACTGTAGTCTTCTCTGAGTGAACACCAACAAGGCTGGTGACGGGAGAGGGAGGGCAGAGAAGTCAAGGTACAACGGGGAGGGATGAGGATCAGTGCCTTCCGAGGGAAATGTCCAAAGAGGAAAAGACAGTACGTTTGGACGTTACTTGGGAGGGAAGTGAGTCACAAAAAGCTACGGTCAGTAAACGGCAGGCAGTGAAGAAGGCGATACACAACTGCAGGCTAATTTCTGTGGAAGAACTGGATTTAGAAGGAAAGCAGCAGTGGATGCCCTATTCTGTATATATGAGGCTTGCTCAAAGATGCTGGAACTCAAATGCTTTTAATTTTAACCTCCTTGGTGACAGGACTTGAGTGGAAACACCAAGGTACCCAGCAGTGGGAACACCACACTCCCAAGATACTGGTCCTTTAAAATAATTTTGAGAGGGTATTAAAGATGTGCTTCAATGGTCTTATGGTTCCTTATTTCATTTAGTTTCTCGGCAACTTTCTGAAAGCTCATTTAAAAAGGGAATACTGCCTTTAAAAAAAAAAAAAAAAAAAACCAGGACAGTGAATGAGCCTTAAAGAGTTGATTTATACAATGCAACTGGAACAAACTACCTGCATACACAGTCTATCATTGAAAATCAACATTTTTCATGTCTATAGAGAGCATGTGTGAGACGATGTGTGAGATAATAGAAGTGGGATTCCTGATTTTTTATAAAAGAAAACTACATCAGTCAAATATCTGCAATAAATCATTTTCTCATTTAAGGTTTATATATCATATATTGTTATATTAACATTTTTTTCACCCATTTAAAAGAATGGAAATTGTGATTCTACAGTAGTACTTTATAGTCTTAATGATGCAGGAGGTCTGAATGTAAGATGAAATCTTCTAGAAGTAACTGTTGGTCAGTAGTTGATTCAACACCCTGGACCTCTCTGGCCCACCTGCACCACCCTACTCCAACCAGGAGGCCACATGCTTCTCCCACTTAAACCTGCATCTGCTCCAGGTATTTGTAGGTTGGGTTTTCATAACCATGGTTCTGCATCTTGTTCAGGTGACGCTC